CTGCTGAACACTCAGTAAATATTAGACAAGTCATCAAATGATTAAATCGACTCTGGTGTTCCTATCGATCTGACCAGCATGTATGGCCTTTTTTTCCTCCCACGAAGGACAGGCCAGTTACTTCATGGCTTTCATGTGAAACTGTATTAAACGACCCCAAAAGGTGAGCTAAGAAGAATGTCATTAATTTTTCTAATATTATAGAGAAATAGCTTTATGGACATCTGTGATTAAAAAAGAAAAATAGATGACCAACCAGAGGTGGTTAGGGCACTGGATCCCACACAGCCAACGGTGCGCTTTGAGTCTCAGACCCTGAAGCTCGAAGAACACACTGGGCTCGTGTGCATGCACACCCAAAATCCCAGGAGAGATGGAGAAAGCACTGCAGCATGGTCATCCCCCAGGGGGGATGCTTTCTTACTTTCCCTCTCTCTCTTTCTGTCTGTATCTGGTGAGCACACACACCCTCTAGCAAATTAAAAAATAATAATAAATTGGGCCAAGAGCTGGCATGGAGATTAAGGCATGAGATCTCACACGGCCAACTCTATGGTTAGAGTCCTCAACCCAACAGCTTAAAAATCACACCAGGCATATATGTATGCATGCCAAAAATCCTGAGGGGAAAAGGGATTGTAGCATGGCCACCTCCCTGGGGGCGGTGTTTTCCCACTCCCCCACCCCCATTCTCTGGCAAGTGCATGCAACCTACAGCAAAAGTAAAAAATAATAAGTAAATAGGAAAATAGGGGCCAGGCAATGACAGAGCAGTGGCACAACTGCGCCCAAATGGAAAGAGTCCTGGGGCTGCGACCTGGGACCTCCTGAGTCATGCTGGGTGTGTGTGCCCATGTCTGGGGCTGGCTCAGACTATAATCACCACATAAGGAGTTCTGTTAGGTACACATATCTCTTTGTCTCTCTGTCTCCATCTTGCTCATAAAAAGAACTTAAAAAAAAGGGGGTGGGGGGAATAAGACTGACTCCATGACCCAGTGGTTAAGGGAGCCAGATTCCACCTAGTCAACCTTAGTTCAAATCCCAGCCTTGACAGCTTGAGAACACACCAAGCACGTGTGTGCACATGCCTAAAATCTCAACAGGATGGAGAAATAATGAAGAAGGGATTATGAGTGACTACATTCCATTGAGGGGTGTTTTCTCCCTTTCTGGTGAGCCCTCTGGCAAATTTGTTTATTATTGTTGAGGTTTTTGCCTTAGGACACATACACTCACTAGGAAGAGAGACAGAGAAAGTGAGAGGGACAGTGAGAAATCCCCCGGGGAAATGGCCATGCCACAATCCCTTCTCCATTCTCCTCCTGGGATTTTAGACACACATGCACACACACCTGTTGTGATTTTCAAGCCACCAAGTTTGGGACTCAGCTGTGGTTGGCCATGTGGGAGTCCAGTGCTCCAACCACCAGGCCACCTGCTGGCCCCTCTTCAATTTTCTGGACTTGCAGAAGAAAGTGAGATGTTATGGGACTTAGGAACTTAGGGAGTCACTACTGACCCAGCTTCTACACAATTTGTGTGTGTGTGTATTTGCGTGTATTAATGATACGTGTCTCGTAATGAATTAGAATTTATTCTGAATTAATTCATTCAGAAAGATGAATTTTCTGTGTAATCTCATTATGCTCATATGGATCCTTCTACTTGATGGACCAACCTCACTTTTTTATTAATTAGGAAAATGAATTTCTGATCTCTAGTTTTGGCCAGGCATGGCCTGTAGGTGAGAAGGGTCTAGGTCCTCACTCTGAACTCATTTTTGGGGAGCCAGCTGCCCTGTGTGTGGGGACTGTGTCATACCCCCAGAGACTACCCCACTTGGTTGGCCCCCGATGGGTATGCTGGCTGTGTGTATGGCTGGGCCCCGTAGTCCCTGGGGCCACCAAGCCCGGCTGAGCTCTGTAGTTAGTCAAAGACCATTCGCTTTCATCAGATCGCTGCAGACCAGGAGTGGTGGGTGAGGGGCACCACTGGTTTTGCGTTTTCATCCTCTCTGTTTTTATAAAACCAGGTATTGAGGGTCAGTCAGGCCATGGTGCCCGTCCCTAAGGGTCTTAGTAATCACCTACCACCTTCTCTTGGTCCCCTTGCTGCAAGCCTTTTCTCTGATGAGTAAGAAGATATATCCTGGGGCCAGCAGGTGGCATGGTAGTTAAGGCACTAGATTCCCACATGGGAGTGCTGGACCTGGCTGCTGGGAAGTCACACCAGGCATGTGTGCATGCGTGCCCAAAATCCCGAGAGGAGAATGGAGGAGAAGGGATTGTGGTCTGGCCATCCCCCCAGGGGATTTCTCATTTCCCCCCCTCTGTTTCTTCCAGCTAGCGCATGTGCCCTAAGGCAAAAGCCTAAAAAACAACAACAAAGAAACAGTGGACAGGAGCAATTCCTTGACATGAATTAATGCTCAGGAAGAATGTGTCTTTGAGCCTACCTTGGCCTGGACGGCGTAAGAAGCCAGGAGCACAGAAGCCTCGGGAGGACAGTAGATCTTTTCATCTAAAATCTGCTTCTTTACCTGAAAGGGGCAACAAAGGAGACATGATACAGTGTGTGTGCAGAGTGAGCCATGGGGGCCAGTCATGGCAGGTGGCTGCAGGGTGTCCCGATAAGGGCCACCAAAGCAGCCTAATAATGATTTTATAACAAAGGGTCTGATTTTTTACGGAGGCAGGCAGGTGAAGAGTTCGGTCACCGAGAAGTTACTGGTAAGACAGCTCCGTATAAGAACCCCTTAGCTCTTCTCTTCATGATCAATGCTGAAGAGTAAAACGATCCTAACAGTGACAGAGAGCTGTCAACTTGACAAGTGTCAGAAGCAGCCATAGGGGTGCTCCCAGCCTCGGCCCCCGCTGCACACAAGCACACTAGAGGACTTTTAAGTCTCGCGCAAGGCAGAAGTCACCAAGGCCACTGAGTTATGACTGCAGAAAAAAAGCCATCACTTGCAATGTGCTGCTCTAAGGAAAAAGGAAGCAATAAAATTTGATCGATTCAACTTTTAAGTACACGTGAGGTTCAGGAAATATAATTCTTAAACCATAATGTTGAATTAACATATCTCGTGGCACTTAATTTGTTAGAATGGAGCAGCGAGTAATGTTCCAGACACAGGAAAAGGGGAGCCCGCATTTATCAGTAGGCACCAGATTCACAAAAGCAGCAGATCTACCTTGCTTGGTCTCAAAACCCCCTTACGCTTCAGCCTGAAGAAAAATCAGACCAAAGTTACATGAAGGACAGGCACTGTGTCTAAGCCAAGAACGCCATTTCCATCACGCTAGGACATTCCGGGATCAAGGAGATCTTTAAGTGGTTTCACACAAACACGAAAATTCTCCCCAGGTATTAAAACTGATTTTCCATTCTTATGGAGAAAATGGAATTTGAGATGTTTCTCAGAAACGGAGACCTTCTCATCTTGGTTTCTTTTTTTTTTTTTTGAGAGGTTTTTGCTATAGGGCGCGTGCGCTCGCCAGACAGACAGAGAGATGGAAAGCAAGAAATCACCCCCCAGAGGGGATGGCCATGCCGCAATCCCTTCTCCTCCATTCTCCTCTCGGGATCTTGGGCACGCATGCACACGCGCCCAGCGTGAGTTTAAGCCACCAGGTCCGGGACTTGAACCGCGGTCGACTACGTGGGAGTCCAGCGACATAGCCATTACGCTAACTGCTGGTCCCCTCATCTTGGTTTCTTTTACAAAGGAAAAAAGATGCCACACTACAGAAAAATGGGCTTCCTTTGGACATGAAAATGTTTAAGAAAGGTGTTGGGCCATCTGATGGTGTGGTGGTAAAGACGCTGGATGTCCCACATGGCCGACTCCATGGTGCAAGTCCCAAACCTGGCAGCTTGAGAAATGCATGGTGTGCATATGTGTGCACACCCAAAACCCAAAAGGGGAAATGGAGAAAAGACCACGCCCCATGGGGAGTGCTTTCTCACTTTCCCTCCTTCTCTCTTTGTCCCTCTCCAGCCAGCACACACGCCTTGTAGCAAATATTTAAAAAAGAAAGTTGTTATTATTTCTTTAAAATAAATATCCACTATACTTACACATACACATTGCATCTATAAATATGCATATGCATATATGTGCATGCGTATGTATGTATAATAGCCATATATAACAACCCCTAGTAATTTCTTTTATAAAAGAGGGCTGCCATACATATTTATATTTACATTAAATTTACTGTTTACCAAACATAATATACCAAGGCTCAAATTAATTATAGGATGACTATGTGACAGACTACGCATCTACAATATAATACTTCTGGGAAATCATGTAATTAATGCCCTTGCTACGATCGTTTCTATTACTCACGGTGGGTGCCTTTGGGCACACAATCAGCCATGGTGTCAATCACTGCAACTAGCCATGAAATCGGGAAGTGCTGATCAAATAGTAAGAACACAAGGAAAACTGACAAGGTTTGCATTCTCGGACCAGGCCCCCTACCTGTGTCCCTGGGTGGTCAATCTATAATTACGGATCTCCTCATTTTTTCAATTCTGTTGAGCATTTAGAGCATGAGGCACCTCAATCCAAAAATTCAAATTCCAAAATGCTCTAAACTCTCAAACTTGTTGAATGCCAACATGTCTCCACAAGAAGGAAATTCCACCCTGGCCTCACATGAAGGTTCCCGTTCAGAACACAGAAGCCCGAAGTGGTTTATTCAGCATCCCCAAGGGAGAAAAGACTCTCCCAGTCCCTTGTTTGGTGATGCCAGACAACCACAGACCACCACATGGGTGGCTAGACAGCTTTGCTTTCTGATGACTCCATGTAACAAATTTTGTTTCATTTACAAAATTATTGAAAATATAGCATAAGATGACATTTAAGCTATTATAAAGTGTACATGAAACATGAATGAATTAGGTCCCATCCACAATATGTTTCATTGTGTATATGCAAACATTCCAGAATCTGAAAAAGTCCAAATTCCCGAAACATTTCTGGTCCCAAGCATTTCAGATAAAGGATATTCAACCTGTACTTATGGAATGCCTATTGTACATTCAATAAGCCTCAAGGGGGTTTATAATCTAATGAGGGAATAAATGAGAACTAAGAGAATTTGGAGCCAGTCAATGGCATGGTAGGTTAAGGCGGCTAGATCCCATATGGCCAACTGAGTACCGGACCCCGCAGCTTGAAAAACATGCCAGGCATGTGTGCTTGTGTGCTCAAAGTCCTGAGAGGAGAATGGAGGAGAAGGGATTGCAGCATGGCTATCCCCATAGGAGTACTTTCTCACTTTCCCACTCTGTCTCTCTGGCAAGTGCACATACTCTATAACAAAATTTTTAAAAATAATTCTAGAGGTGGGAACCAGCAGTTAGCGTAATGGCTATGTCGCTGGACTCCCACGTAGTCGACCATGGTTCGCGTCCTGGACCCGGTGGCTGAAAACTCACGCCAGGCGCGTGTGCGTGCGTGCCCAAGATCCCGAGAGGAGAATGAAGGAGAAGGGATTGCGGCATGACCATCCCCCCTGGGGGGTGATTTCTCGCTTTCTGTCTCTCTGTCTCTCTGTCTGTCTGGCGAGCGCACATGCCCTATAGCAAAAAAAATAAAACCTCTCAAAAAAAAAAAAAAAAAAAAAATTCTGGAGGAGACCACCAGATGGGGAAAGGGAAATGTAC